CCTTTCCTCCCCTTGCTCCCTCACTCTCTATTCCCTGACATCTTTGAGTTATTGAAATGCCCACGGTGGAAACAGCACCACTCCGAGCCTGCACACACCTGGCTCAGGGTCCACCGTGGGACTTCAGTCCTCATTCAGGACAGCCCTGAGCTGTGATTTAAAAACTAGAGGCCCGATGCATGAAATTCATACAAGGGGCTTGGCCCTCGCAGCCGCAGCGGCTTGCCTCAGCCCTTGCAGCCCCGGCTTTGTTCAGAAGGTCGTCCAGAAGGACATCCAGAAGATAGTTTGGCTGTCCAGTCTAATTAGCATATTATGCTTTTATTATTATAAACTAGAGGTCCGGTGCACAGAACTCGTGCACAGGGAGGGGTGGCGGTGTCCCTCGGCCCAGGCTGCACCCTCTCCAATCTGGGAGCCCTCGGGGTATGTCTGACTGCCGGTTTAGGCCCTATCCCACAGGCAGTCGGACATCCCTCTCATAATCTGGGACCGCTGGCTCCTAACCGCTCACCTGCCTGCCTGCCTGATCGCTCCTAACCACTCTGCTGCAGGCCTGCTCCCCCCAACTGCCCCCCCTCTGGCCTGATCACCCCCAACTGCCCTTTCCTCCTGGCCTGATCGCCCCTAACTGCCTCTGCCTCGGCCTCGCCACCATGGCTTTGTCCTGAAAGATGTCCAGAAGGTCTCCTGGTCTAATTAGCATATTACCCTTTTATTAGTATAGATAAGAGCTTGTGCTTTTGGTTTAATGTTGTGAGAAATGCTCACCTGTCCCAATACCTGACAGACGTGTGATGAAAACGAGCTCTTTAATACGTTCTTGCAGGAGCGGGTGTCGGGACAGGCACATGGAGCAGGGATCACAGACTGTTTATCCCGAGGGTGCGAGTCCCTCCTCCGGCTCCTCATTGGCTGAGCACCATGGTCACCTGTTCCCTCATAGGTCGCCTAGGTCTGCTCTCTCCCATTGGGCCATTTAAGAGGATCGGCTGAAGCTTTTTCCAGTTGCCTCCCCCCCCACACCCCCTAGTTGAGGTGGGCGCCCCTGGGGTTTCCACCATGACGCTGGCCCACGTGCCCAGTTCTTTGTTCGTACATCCTCTCCCCTCCTCCCCACATTCTGTGTGCCCTGGGGAAACTCCGTGACCGCTTCTATCAAAAGCCGCCATGCTGGGGCGGACCACAGAGGCCCACTTCCCACAGTGCCGGGTGCAGGGCCCTGAGCTGCCTTTCTCTTGTCTGGCCACTGCTCTCCTCGCTCGTCCCTCCCCTAAGCTCTCTAGTTTCCTGTAAGTTGGACCAACTGGACTTGGAGAAAGAACTGGTTTGACTCCACCTCCCCCA